TGCAAGCAGTAAAACCCTGATTTCAATGAAGTTGTTGTAAAAAGTACATTGACTTCACTGGGACTAGGATTTTGCTCAGGATTCTCCTCTGCTTTATATTATCATCATCGCACTTCAGATGCTCACTGTAGAGAAGAGTCAGGGCTAAATCTCCGTTACCGAGTTCTAAGTTGGGTGTGAGCTGTATCCAATTTAGGGGATGCAGCAGCAAGCATGCTCACGCCCCATGTGCCGGGAAGACCAAAGGGCTAGGTACAGACATTCAAAAGCCCAAGCAGAATCAATCTAAGTTGCACAGTTTTCTGTAAGAAATGTTGTTTAGATCAGTAGCGAACAGAAAACATGTTCGCCCTTTCTTGCAGGGTGACAAATCATAGACTGGGTTCTGCCATTTTTACACCAGTCTGTGTGCCAAACTTCTATTCTGTTATGGGTACAGACCAGTTTTTGATCACTTACATTGGTAAAAGTGCAATGTCTGTACCTTGCCTAGAGGTGTTATGCTCACAGCCTCCCAGGACTCTTGTTTGGGCAGAGCAGCCCCACCTTCTCCCAGACTAGTACATTAAAAGCACAATGGAGCTCTCAATTTGTGAAATGCTGGAGCAGGCCAGTTTTAAGCAAGATGACAATCATAATAGTTTTGAGATCCTTACCTTGACACAGAGTCAGGATAGTCCTAAATTAAAAAAAAAAATCCCTTCCTGGCAGACTTCCTTATTGGCATACACTTTTTTCTGTTCTGGGAAAATTTGGATATAGTTCTCTATTAATCTCCATTTTGTGTCTTTTTATTGATGTTTATTATATTTGCTGTGTAAAATTGCTACAAAAGGAGGTTTAAACAAGAAATACAAGCCTAAAGAGACCTGATTACAGTGTAACTGCAAAACTAAATAATGCAGAGGACATGACCTTCATAGCAAAGAACTTTAATACAAAACAGGTTGAAATAATATTCAGGTTTAGAATTTAAACCCATAAAAAACACCGCAGTTGAGCTAAGACTGCTGGTAACACCTTAGCCTCAGTTCACTTATGCTTAGGAATTGCCCAATAGCAAATGGTTCTGCTACTGCAGACCACTAAATATATGCATTTATTTTGATTTTGAAAATATTGGCTAATGTCAGATATTGAATAGTAATTGCTTCTGTCTATCAGAAACTTGAGTTCCCTTATAAGCAAATATAAAAGCAAAAATACTAAATTAAATATTTGCTTCCTCCCCCAGTGATCGCAAGAACTGAACTCTGGCCCAGATACAAAGCTCATATAACTGTCATATATCTAATTATAAAGCATTTATTGTTTTGATTAAATGTAAACAGATAGCTGTATTGAATTGTTCCATCTGTAGTACCAGATTTTGTCAGTAAAATGTTGTTGTATCCTTGAAAAAAAAATCCGATGGATGTGGTAAGGAGAAGATAGAAGAGGGCAGTTGAAAAGATGCAGAAGCATCTTAGACACAGACTTTCTTTGTTTCTATAGCTTCACAGTAATGTAAATGTTGGCCACGTCCAGACGAGCACAGTCGTGCACCACATACCTCGCATTCTGTTCTCCACGCTGCAAGAGAGTAGTGCAGAGGGAAAGCCAGGGGTCAAAAAAAAGTGGAGTGGTGCATGAGGCGACAGCATGCGCTACTCAAAGCAAGAGCCTGGCCAACTGGAACCATGCCTCACTGCTGTCCAGGCTTCATGTGACAACAGGATCACTGCTACTGCAATCCTGGAAGGGCCCCAGGACCCCAGGTAAAGTTGCTGGAGCCAGACCAGTGCTGGCCACAGCTTCCCCTACCACCCAGGGTAGCTTGCCGCACACGAGTGCACAGACGTTCCCTGGGAACAACTAGCAGTGGCACAAGGTGTGCCGTCACTAGTTGTACCCGATAACCAAATGTTCATGCACATCTGGATACGACCGTTGTGGCTGAGAATGGTTTCAAACAGGCATTCTCATCTTTCAGGTTGAGTTTGTTTGGAAAGATATTTTTAAGTTGAGGTTTGCAGAAATGATTGGGTTTTTTTCTAGTAGAGCTCTAGACAGAACAGGACTTACAAATTATGCTAGATCTCTTGTTAAGTTTTATTATCACTAATTGAGACGGATCAAAATTCTGGAGACTAAAATCATTAGTCTTTCAAAATAACGTGATCTCTCCAGGCAAAGGTTATGACTGGTAAGCTAGGAGTGGTGATGTTCATGCTGTTTGTGTCTGTGGATAAACAAAGAAATTCAGCTTTTCAGGCTTGAAGTTCAGCACCTTGCACAAATAGTACATCCTTCAAATAATCATGATTCTTAAAGGAGGAAACATTTTTGAGCTATGAGTTTGACTTATAACTGATTTGATATAAATACCATTTAGCATGGGTAGTAAATAGTAGTAGTAGTTTATTTACAGCTTCCACCAAAAGAATATGCTAAAATGAACAAAAAGAAATAAATAATATTTATATAACTTATAAAAACATACAGCAAGACGATCCATTCTACCAATTTATGCAAAATTAAACAAAAAAATAGTATCTGATGTCGAAAAATAAATAATAAAATGAAGCAGTGGATAATAAAACAAAATAGGAAAATTTTTATTTGATTTTGGCCCTTGTTCTTTGAGCACGTAAGAGAACTGTATCTAAGGAGAATATGTGGTCCAAACTGTTATTAGAGAGAAGCCCGTTTGTTTTTTCTTTGTGAGCCCAATATTTAAAATTTCCCATTAATGGAGAGATCCGTTTTCCTCTCATTTCTTCAGAGAACAAACAAAATCACAAATAGTGATTTATGTCATCTATCTCCTTCTTCCAACAAGAGCATTTTGTATCCAAACATTTTGTAACAACCTGCCCATGACATCCACAGATCTCATTAGTAGGGAAGTGCATTGCACAGCGGCTCCTTTAATTTTTCTTTTTTTACTATGTACCCCCCGAGCACTGATTGGTGAAGGGAGACCCCTACCGCTTGCTCCTGATCAGCCAGGTAGCAAAAAATATGGTTTTAAATATGCTTAAATTTTCCCCTCCTAGTCAATCAGCAGCAAGAAGTGGGGCCACCAGGGCCGCTTGGCCAATCAGGAAAGGGAGGCAAAAACCATGGCATGTTTAAAACTGTGGGTTTTGCCCCCTGGCTCATCAGGAGGAAGCAGCGGGACTGCCAGGGTCCCTCTGCCAATCAAAGGTGGGAGTCAGGTGCATGGTGAAAAGAGCAAGATTAAAGGAGCTGCTGTGAAGTGCACTTCCAGTGCAATTTACATAGATCCCTACTCATTAAAGTAAATCTCAATCTAGTAATAACCTCTCATTGTTTGTAGTTTTACACCCCAGATGGGTAGGTTTCTAGGCCATTGGAGTGATTTATTAATTTTAAAAAAGAGGAAGTTTCAGACAGTTTTACTATCAGGATATTTCTCTGCATGCTGGCATCTTTAATTCTTAAAGTGATGTCTTGTGTTAGATATAGGGGAAATATTAGGTCAGTGGCATTTCCCCAAGCCTTTTGTCCGGAGAATATAGATGTTATTTAACCATCCAAACAAGGGCTTATTTTGCAAATGGGAGACATCTAGAATGTGTACTTCATCAGTTTATCTGGTATCCATCCAGTGGTTTAGAGCAGGGGTTTTCAACCTTTTTTAAGGAGTGTACCCCTTTTGGCCGGAAGCACAGGGGCTGGTAGGGTGGGGTTTGGCAGTGGCAGACACTGAGCCTGGGGGAGATGACGGGGGGCTTGCCACGCAGCAGTGTGGGGTGGTGGGTGGCAGTCGCACAGCCAATCGCATGCGCGGATCTGCCGGCTGCTGATGGGTCTTGCACCTGGCCAATCGTACACTGCCTGTCAGCAGCTCACGGAGCCACATGTGCGACACGTGGCAGTGTGGGGTGGTGGATGGCAGCGGCCGCCATGTGCGAGTTCCCCCCCGCTTCCGCCTGGCTGGGCAACACCTGTGCAGCCTGCAGAGGGAAGTCACTGCCCTCTCTCCCTCTCCCCCTCCCTTGTTGTAGAATTAGATAGAGATAAAAACTACCTTTAAAAAGATCTCCAACTACTTTTTGTTTTGAGATGGACTATGGACCAGCATCCCAACGTTCGGCTGCATACAATAAAATGGACTCTACCTTGGATCTATAGACCTTTATTGTTTCCAGAACCACTCTTTTTCCCATCTTATTGTAAAAAGAACTCTGCCCAAAACTCAGTTTGCTTTAATATTTACATTTTCAATGTGCTTGTTCCAAGTCAGATTTTTGCTAAAATAGATTCCAAGGTATTTAAAGGAAGACGCCATCTCTAGTTACTTTTTCTGTAAAAAACAAACTTTTTTTCTCCTTTCATTCCCCAAAACCAATACCTTGATATTAACCGTGGTGATTTCCAAACTGTTTGAGGTGCAATACTTCTGAAAAGCATCTAGCAACCTGAGATTATTACATTATTAATGCATCATCTGCATAAAGCAAGATGAAGCTAGAGTCATGCAAAATCATGGGTGCATGGAATTAATAAACTGTTAGCACCTGTCTTTATATCATTCAAGAATAAACTAAAAAGTTGGGTGGCATATAAAGAGCAGGAGAATCGGCAGATTTGGTGGGGTCTGATTATCAACAAAAGTACCTTTTACTAAGATAAGTAGTTAAATTGGAAAAGTACTTGATTTATTTTTATTATGCACTGTGGTGGTGTTTTGTTAGACCTGTATTTTAAAGTAGTTAAACATTTGCTTTGAAGCAGTAAATACATTGTTTAGATTTTCTTCCTCGGTTAATCCTAGTTCTAATGCCGTCAAACATGAACATTCCCATCCATGTCAGTCTTTGTTCTCTGCAGGCCTGCCTACATAACTGTCATTTGCAGGAAAGAAGGTTGTTGTTTTTTTCAGTAAAAGAATCTCAGTAGTATATTTCAATTGGATGGTATGAAAAATGGTAAAAGATGGGGACCTGTGTTGCATTATGTCATTTGACTTGATATAACCTTTTGTTCAATAGGTGATTAAGGAAAGTGGACCTCCACATATGAAGAGCTTTGTTACTCGAGTCACAGTAGGAGAATTCTCTGCAGAAGGAGAAGGAAACAGTAAGAAACTCTCAAAAAAACGGGCTGCAATGACTGTCCTACAAGAACTTAAAAAACTCCCTCCTCTTCCTGTGATTGAAAAGCCAAAACTTTACTTTAAAAAACGTCCTAAAACAATATTAAAGGTAAGTGTCTGTGTATATTGCAAATAGTAATGCTCTCTTCTGACAATTTATGATTCTTATGGAATCCCTACCTCTTCCTTGTCTATACCATTACTTGTGCAGCTTTAATTTTAGTGTGGTCCAGCTTGTTGGTATTTTCCAGACCCCACCAGATGGCTGGAATTTGTCATTATTTCATTTGTGACAACCAAAAAAAATTACTTGTAACCATAAAAATTATCAAATGCGTTTACTCTAAAGATTTTGTCCATTTGGGATCTGATCCTGCATTCATCAGGAGTTTTGCTACTAGATTCAGTGGTGCAGGTTCAGATTCTTAGACTAGCTGCTGAGGATTGGTAGACAGAAAAATATATGCTCTCATGCTAACATTCTTATGTTTTAATTTATTTCCTCCTCTGATAGTAGATTTCTCTATAATAAAGCATTACAAAGACTAATTGTTAAAGATAGATGTAGTTAGCCATGTTAGTCTGAAGTCAAGCAGAAGGCAGTGTATATTTGCACCCTGTAGATTAACTGAGAGATGCATAAGCTATTCGTCAGCTGCTGCTTTTGAAATCTTATGCATCTCTAATTAAATTAGCCTAGAAAGTGCAAATCTACCCTGCCTCTACTTTCAATTAAGAAGTAGTCTTTTATTAATCTATTTAAATTATTTTAAATAAAATAATATATATGTAAAATATATATTATAAACACTAAGTATGTTAAATTTCATAACATTTATAAACTTTTAAAATATATTTTTTTATACAAGTATAAAATCTAAAATTTTATAAGATTATAAAAAATATATATATTTTACATAATCTAAGATTCAGGGTGAAATCTGGTGATCCAAGGCAGGTGAAGGATTTTTATTTCTTAACATTTAGCATCTTTATTATTAGTGTACAGCAATGTTCAAATAATTGTGTATTAGGAATCTAATTATATGCAAAAAAGAACAATTATCAATTCTTGAGATGTTTCTACCTTAGATGTAAGATGTTCAATGTCTAACTATATCATTACCTATTTTAAGTAATACTACAAGTTAGGAATATAATTTATGTAGCTGTGGCACAAGCATGTTTTTGTTTATGTATCATACAGTATATTTAGATGGACTCTGTGAGGAAGTGATATAGAGCTATAACTGCAATAAGCAAAACATCCCAGTGAAGCCACATTCCCTTTTACCACTACTAACCAAAAGAACACATACAGCTTCTAAGTTTCTTGTGTCATTTAGCTTTTACTTTTATTTTTGCCTATATTATTCTAAGTATTTTTTTTATGATGTCCAGTGCTGAGAAAAACATGTCCAGCTATTTCAAGCTTAATTCTTAATACACTGATGTCTACAAATGAACATGAGTAAAGTCCCTTTGTGTGTGAGGGAAGCCACGTCAACCGCAGCTACAGCATCTGCCCTAAGGCAGTGCAGTAACTTGTCAGTACCCTCTTAGGAAGTATGGTTCTGTTTGATTTTGACAGCTCCAGAATATTCTGTAAATTCATCCATTCTACTAACTTGAAAATCTCTTTAAAATATTGTAAGGTCAAATGCTTACCATCTGTGCCCTTGGAAGTTACAACCCTTTGTCAGTTCTGTCACCACAAATGAGATTCAGTCACTGGGTCCCCACATCTTCCATCTGTTTGATTGGTTAGTTAAGGATAGCACTTTAGAAAAGGTCCGAAGGTCTGTTGCTATCACCATCAAACAGACCCTTGAATATGCATGTAGAAAAGCCACTTAATTGCTTATACATTTGCCTTTAGCTAGGGTAGGATTGGTAATACGCTGATTCATAAAAATCAATGATCAAGGCCATAAAAACGTAATGATTTTGAACCATCCTTCCATTAAAATGTGCCCTGGGTCAGAGGATGTTAATATGCTTTGCAATACATTAATGAAGCTTTCGTCAGAGCCTCTAGATTCCTGTGAGCTCAAGTTTCTTAAATGGAGCTGTTTATTCCTGGTGGCAGTAGATTTATTACTGCCTCTAGGATTCAGTCAGTTCACAGTGACTAGCCCTGATTTGTGTACTTATCCTAAATTCTTTCTCAACATGCACCTAACAGGAATAATCAGCCTTATATGTGATCTAATAACTGCATTCATGGTCTGTTCTCTATATACATTTATATAGAGAAATACTGCTTAGCCTCAACACAATATGAAAAATAAACTTAGACTGTCAGTGCTTCAAACTAGAATAGGTTTTGCCAGGGGCCCAACCCTTCCATACGTTACTTCCTTTTTGTGGGTATCAGTTAATTTGTTTGGACACAATTTTCTACTGCTTGACATTCTGGGTAGCATTAACACCCATGCTAATGTGTAAATGCTACTGTTTTGCTTTCTAGCATTTCACATCCATTTTGCACTAGTTTAAACCACAGTAGAGAACCAGACCCATTCCATTTGCTTCTACAGAGCACACTCCTGCTTTTACATTTAGACACAGGGGCCCTCAAGACTTTGGAACTGCAATATCAATATTATATGCAGGATAGTCTCTTTCCAGAATATTGGTTTAGGCTATTTAAAGGTCAGTGTTTAATCTGTGCTTCCTTTAAAAACAAATCTTTGGCCATTTTTTCTGAATTTGGTGAAAGCAAAGAAAACTGCACTTCCCTGTTTTGATTAACTCTGTCCACATTTTGGTTTGGTTTAGCTGGCTTTTGGATAGGGTGGTGGTTTGAAGACTCTTTTCAAGTCAAATTTCAGTGAGGACTAATGATTTTGATAGATTTGGTGGGTGGGGTTGGAGAGTCGAGTGCTTTTGATATGGCCATTTGGAAAGAGCAGATTGAGCATGCAACGTACAAAATCCCTTTAGCCTACAGTTGCAGGAAATGATGAAACTACCATCTTGTCAGAGCTTATAAAGCATACTAGCTGAATAAGGAGATGGCGCTGGAGAGCTTGCAAGCTGCACAAAGTATGTATTCAAGTTTTTTAAATTTTCAAGGAAGCCCAAGCAAATTCGATTCCAGACTCTCATTGAGATTCAGTTGGGAATTAGGTGTCTGACTCTTTTAGGTTTCTTGGAAATTCCCAGGAAAACAAAGCAAAAACTATAGTAATACAGCATAAAGTTTGCAAGATCCAGTATCAGAAAGCCAGCAGATTCTAAGTCATATTGACTCTGACTCCAACTCTCCTGTATACCAGGTTCTGCCCAGGCTCATTCTGGACAGTGTCAGTGATATGGTGCCTTTTCTCTGCTATAGTTTTCATCATTTCTATCTCCAGTGCAACTAATTATTGGAAACTAGTGGTAAATGATAAACCCAAGTAGAAGCAGATATTATCAAGTCAAAACAACCTTGGTATTTGATATTTTTGAGTGCCAGTTCATGTAGCCTCAAAAATGCATTTAATTTACCTGCTTCTTTTAATGTAATATATGAATATTAGTGCACCCAGGAAATGTCAAAATCATATCCTTTCCTTATTTACAAAGTATGGATTTGGCACCAGTACTTGTGAAACTGCTGTAGAGTATCATAGCCTGCACTTGTACTTTTTATAGCACACTCCACTTTTTGCCTCTGCCTGGCTCCCTGACCACACAGCTGTAATGAAAACTGCCCTTGTGCATGATATTTCCCTAATTCTTTTACCTATAGATTTTCAAGCAACTTTAACATAAATACCATGGAGGAATTCACTGTACAGCTCTGATAACACAATACCCCTCTATTCCTCCCTTTGCTGGTCTTCCTCTTATGTATATTCTCTCTCTCTCTCTCTCATGCACACATGTACACACACATGCATACCGTTATTTTTAATAGCTGTCTGCTTTGAATAAGCATTTTCTTTACAAACAAATTTTAGAAAGGACATTTAGAGGCTACAACAGAGAAAACAGGACTCTCGTCTTTCACACTTCAGCTTTGTATGCAACCTTGGAGAAATCAATCTTTCCATCCCTTCACTTATCTCATAGGTTGAAGAAGAGAACCCCAACAATAAATCTTAGTAGAGTTTGTTGTGAGGATTAATGTCTGTAAACATTTGAGATCTTTGGTCAGATAGCTGTCAGTGCAAAGGCCTTTTGACCTTCCAGGATTCCTCTATACCTTTTTTTAGTGTAACTACATGACCCTATATTTTTAAGGGATATATCTTAGGAGCTACGGAAGGCTTACATTACCGCAAATATGTTTTTGTTCCACTGAGTGAAAAGGACTGGAATGCAGAGGGTTGTGCAAAGGCACTCTGCAGCCCATTGTACACCACAGAGCTAAGCTTCATAGTGGCCTATTCTGTGAGAAAGGGCAGAAGATGTGGAATTGAGGGTGGGAGAAGGACCACCATCTTGCAATTCCACTAGCCTATAGAAGTAGTTCAGGAGTTTGGCAGTCTACAGCTACAAGACGCACCCATTTTCTTTAGTAGGAACCAGGCAGCAGCTCCATGCCACTTATCACAAGTTGAGCATGAGACTGAGCATCTCCTGTCATATGAGCAGATGACTGAATGTACTTGGTTTCTTCAACTATCCTCTCTTCTATTTCATCTTGAGAGAACAACAGCATGGGAAAATATTTTTTTAAAACAAGATGTGACATAAGTTTGTTTGACATGTGCTGAAATATGTACATAAATAACTTGTTATCCATTTTTAACTTGTTTCAGACTGGACCAGAATATGGTCAAGGAATGAACCCCATTAGCCGCCTGGCTCAGATCCAACAGGCCAAAAAAGAGAAGGAGCCAGAGTATATTCTTCTTTCAGAGAGAGGGATGCCTCGTCGCCGAGAGTTTGTTATGCAGGTATTATTTGTTTTCATGTTAGAAGATAATGACCTTATTTTATTATGGGCAAGCACAAGAAAACAAGGGTGGAATATTAAGCTGATCCATATGACATTAGTTAGATCTCTACCATACATGCAGTTCTACAGCAAGAGTACAATATTTTCTCCTTTTCATTTTTTGAAAAAGATTATTTGAACTTCTCTTTTCTCTTGGTGAAGTAAATTATGGTTAGATTTGTGATTCCTTTCTAAAATGATAGGTGATATCTGTCTGGTGTTTTGTGTGTTTTGCTTTTTGGATTTTGCCATCCTTACTTCACTTGTTTTATGTATTTATATACTTTTATTGTTTGTTTCATCAATTTGCTGCTTATTATTTGTCTTTGTTTCTGCTATGCTGTTCTAATGAAAGGCAGAAAACTTTGTAGTTACTGAGGGATCAGAGACTGTAGTACCAAAAAGGTGTCCAAGAGTCCCTATTTTTCTGAGCTGTTTGATCAAGGAATATGGTTGACAAATCTTGCAAAAAGAGGCTCTGATCAGTTAATAATTATTCTTTCTTTCTCTCCTAAATGGAAAGGGTATTTTAAAAGGTTTACAATTGATATTTTGGCATGTAACTCAGTAACAGGAAGATTAGGAATCAGAAAGGAAGACATAGCTCATTAGATGTGTTTGTTTTTTTTTTTTTTTTTAACTAAACTTAAATTCCATCTTCATGTTTGTCTATCTTGCTCAATTAAATCTTTATCTCCTTGGAACTGAGTGGCTATTTTGGCAACATATTCTGTATCCTAATTCTCGCTAAACCATTTTTGTCTCTCCCCAATATCCTTATTTCAGAGTTTCCATGATGCCCTTAGAACTGTGGTTTCAACTTTTTCTTACTCTAAGGATTTGAAAGGGAGGATTCCTATTACAGACTCTCCTCAGACTCCAGCTTTGATATGGAGTTTGCAGTTAGAGATGGTTGTGTGGGCAATCAGAAAGTGTGGACCACAGATAGTGTGGGCCACAGACCATATTTAAGACTATGTGGCCTTTGTATTACCATTACAGGCAACCCAAATATTTTATGAGTAAAAAAAAAATTGTCTTTGGAGAAGAAAATATTTTAAAAATAGAATATGTAAGATTGCCTTATATAAGAAACAAGGCTCTTGTGAAAGGGCGAGTAAAAGTTATTCCTTAAGCAACCTTTTTATGGGTGTTCATAAATATTGTAGCCTAAATATACGCCTTTTCACCCTGTTTTTTAAATTTTTTCAAGATAAAATCGTATTTCTTTTTTCTTCCTCCAGAAGTCCTTGTGGTTTCATTATGACATGCAAAAAAACTTATCAAAGTAAAATGCCTTTTGTATAAACTACTTAAACAGTGTTTTCATTTGATTTAATTGAATGTGGAAGTAAAATGTCCAGAGATAATATGTTCATTTTTATCTGTCACACAAAGAGCAAGTTTAGATGTGATGAAATAGATCCAATTACTTGTTCTGACCGCTACATAAACAGAAGAAAACCTCTGATGACATTAGTCGGTGTTCTGTTCCCAAAGTTAATTTCGGAAAGCTTTCTCTTTGTAGTCAGACCTTTAATCCTTGATAGAGGTTATAATAATAGCTAAACCAGTTTTACAGGTCTAAGAAATAGCACATTGATTTATTGTGCACTATGTGATAAATTGCCATTTTGTCTTGGCTCATTAAAGTTCTTTAATTTTATTACATATAAGCTCATTGTGATTTGGTTGTTTTCTAACCATGACTGCAGTACTGTTAAAAAAAAAAAAAATGCCTGCTTTTATTTCAAAATTACTTAATATTTCTGTTGTCCATAATTGTGATTCTTGTTACTTAATCATGTATTCCTTTAGTTTACCAGAAGTATTTATATCATTTGCTTATTTCTATAGGTATAGTAGCTAAACTATATAAAACAAAATGGGATAATTCAGCCTTTTTAGTCAACTGTATGTATGTTAAACTAAAATAATTTTTTCCTGTTATTTATTTAACTATTACTTAACACCCCCTCTCCCCCCCGAGATTTTAGAATTTAAAACAACCCAGATTTGAAACTTTTGACCTCTGAGGTTTCTCTTATTTGGATTGTCTTGTGAAGTAGATTACTGTTGCTTTGCCATTACAGACATTTTTGGAGCCATACACAATTTTTTTAAAGAGTATCTGGCAAAAGAGGGTAAATTCACCAAATAAGGTGTAGATAATTAGGAGTGATCCATGGATGAACAAGAATGACAATGATAATATCATAAACCAGGACCATGCAGCTGTGAAGTTTCTAAATGGCAGCAAAACCCAAAGAATAAATTACAGCTTTATATTCTTTCTATGGCCATCTGTTGTTTATAATATGTCTTTTTATTTCTAAGTTATAAGTTCCTCTCCTAGTATATGTGGGGGCTTCCTGGTTGTCAGAAACCTCTATATAATACAAAGCACAATTCCAACAAGAACTCAAACCTTCCAAACAATTTTTTTGAAGAAAGAGCATCTAAGGCTAGACACAATGCTGAAGAGGAAGGACAAGAATATGTCCTCCCCATGTTCCCCTACCTTCCTCCTCCCAGCAATTTCCACTGCTAGTTTTGCTTGCTCTATTGTTGAGGAAGACAAGATACGGAAAGTGTCTTCTTCCTTCCCTGGAAACATGCTACACATTCTTTAAATCTCTTTTTAAAACCCTGGATCCAACTGTTCTCTGTCCACTGATGATACCAGGGGATTGCTGCTACTAGCAGAGCCTGCATTCAGAGACAAGGAAGCTGGGACACTGTAGCAGTTCCTCCTCCTGATGTCAGGCAAGAAAATGTAAGATTGGGGGTGGGGGGAGGAATTCATGCTGCACAGAATGGGGGAAAGGGAGGGACCCAAAAGGCACAAAGTCTGGGAACACAAGGGCAAGGCCCCTCAAGAGAATATAGCTCTGTGTGTAAACAGATACAGACACACAAGCAAGCACACACTTCTGTGGTGTGAATATAGGACATGTAGTTTCTTGGGGGAAGCCTTTTCAGGAGTAAAAGAAGCAAACGTATGTGTGGAAGGAACTCTTGTGCCCCTCCCTGAAGTTGTGGTTAGGAAATGACTCCAGTGGTTCTTTCCTAGCTTTGTGCTGGTTGCATCCATGACCTTAGGTGTTGAATCCATGGGTGCTCTGGGCCTCAAGCACCCACCAAAAAAAATTAGTGGGTGCTCAGCACCCACAAGCCACCTCCGTGGCTGCTTGCAGACATTAAAAAAACAAACAAACAAACAAACAAACAAAATGAGCTTTGCTGCAGGAAGCTGTGTGTTACTTCAACCCAGCTCTGCAGTGTCTGTAAAGATCTGCCGCTTCAGCGGGGCTTTTTGAAGTTTTTAGCTAAAGCTGATTCAATCAGCTATTAGATAAAAGTGCCAAATAATCCCCACTAAAGCAGCCAATCTTTGCAGACGCTGCAGAGCTGGGTTGAAGAAATGTGCTGCCTCTTTGGGCCATGTGTGGGGCCTGGCATGAGAATGTGCTGAGTTTAAATAAAGCACCTTTTTTTGGCTTTTATTTTTTTAAATGTCTGCAAGCACCCACTGGCAAAAAACAAAGTTGGCACCTATGTGTGTGGCCCAACAGGCTGATTGATTGAGATATATATATATATATAGAGAGAGAGAGAGAGAGAGAGAGAAATGTATAGCGGTCTGACTGTCTAGAGATGGAGAGGGTCATTGCTGGGTGATGATTAGGGGCCACATATTTATCAGTGATTTTGATCAATATTTTTGTTCCATTTCACGTTACAAGGTCAAAGTAGGCAATGAAGTTACTACTGGAACAGGCCCCAACAAGAAAATAGCTAAAAGAAATGCAGCAGAAGCAATGTTGCTACAGCTTGGTTATAAAGCCTCCACCCCTCTTCAAGATCAGCCAGAAAAGGTGAGAACTGATTGTTCTGGGGTCCAAATTGTGCCCTCAAATCTGATTTCTTAGCTGCTTCATCACCTTATCACGTAGCATGAACAGGGCCTGAACAGCTGCAGTAAGATGAGTTCAGTTGTATGGTTGGTTGGATATGATAGTCTTCCTTTAGCTACAATTACACAGATTTGATTGGTATCTGCAATTTCTTCCTCTGCAAATATAATTGAGAATTAAATGTTCTTGCTGTGCGCGCACACACACAAACACAAGTGTGTGTGGGAGGGGGAGGGGGTGCGCACACATGTCCATAGATGCTTGCATATTCTATTTAACAAAACTAAGGCCCCTTTTCTTATATCCCTTTTATGTCATTCGTGGTAGGATATTTTTTCCTGTTGGATTTGTACTTCCCATGTAGATGGTTAATTTTCATACATGAAATAGTTAGGATTTTTTTGGCTTATATTACATCTAACTCCAAACAGAAACTGCATTACAAAATTATCTAATAGCATGGGAAAAAGATATAATAGAAGATTACAGAATAATCTTATAGTGAGGAACAGCAGTTAGGCTTTCATCAAATACCATGTTTGTAATGGCAAGTCATGTTTCTGTGGCATCCTCAGCAAATTTCTGTCCATATCAAGCTTACCTTCAAACAGGAAGTAAAGATGCACTAAGACTTTTTTTTTTTAAGTTGATTCATTCAAAGGCAGCTTAGGTCGATCAAGAAAATACATTCCAAATTTGTTAACAGTCAGACCGGGCTGTTTCTTAATTTGAAGTGTTGGTAGTATGGTCCTGTCTTAGGGACAGGCTGCTTAGCTGTTTTGACCTGCTTATACTCTTTACTTCATTAACAAAACTATTTGTAACTCAAAACTATCAACAGAAAACTTTCCTTCTGTCTCAAGGCATGTTTACAGTAAGGATATTTTACATTAAAGAATCTTTAACAGCACAAAACCCCCAGTGTCAAGATGTGATCCCACTACAAAAGTGTCTTGCATCTGTGATGTCCCCCAGTTGTAGACAAACGAATAACTACACACAGATTCACACACAGATTCACAGAAGTTTAGAGCTGGAAGGGACCTCATGAGATCATCGGGTCTAGCCCCCCTGCTCTGGGCAGGGCAACTGTGTATTGGTGCTAAAATCTTCAGCATAGACCAGTTTGCAATATCCTTGTACAAACCAGAGAAGGGCTGTTTTTCTCCATATATACTGGCCATGCACAAACACATGTATCTGAATATAAGCCTGGGAAAAAGACTTGCATTTCATAGTCATTGGATGGAGAGATATGGAGAAGTTTTGGCCACACGGAGAGCAAGGTTCCAGGCTAAAACCCAAGGGCTGCTCCCTTCCTGTGCAGTAGCCACCTCACTGAGTCACACATCATATAACTTGCTCCCTTCCTTCTAGCCTCACATCTCTCTCTCTCCCACCTGTCCAAAGGGCAGAAGGAATGCTGAAGAGGGGACTAGATAATGTCCAACCTGTGGCTTGTTGTTTGGACCACTGTGCAGGGAATTCACATGCCAATTCAAATGTCTTCTGGGGAAAGGGAGATTAGAGCCCAGGTCTTCCACTTAGTGACCTAACAAGGGGTGACACATAGTGGGAGCACGTGCACCCCTGAGCATGGCGGTGCACCCTCTGTGGGTGGGAGCCACCCCCGCCCCTGACCGATGCTGCTAGCGGCTCCTGCGGGTGGTTGTTGATCACTGATGCTGCGCTGCGCGTCCGCACACCCTGCTGACGGTGCTGGCGGCATCTGTGGGAGCTCGCTGCTCACCGCCACTGGGCTCCCGCTGCCACTAGCACGTCTGTGCCCCCCCAGCCTCTGGGGGCACACACAGTTCATGGTCCTAACCACTCAGCTCTTGTGGCTAAACTATGGAAAGCCTCCTTCTCCATAATCTAACACTTCTTAACCATGGGATTTTGGCTGGCTATATCTTCATAACTTATACAAGGGAACATACAATTCAACCTTGTGTGTGGGTGATTTCATGCTCAGTTACTTGGTTTCACATGTGCATATTTCATGGGTGAAGTTTACGTGCTGACATTTCAGAATTTAATCCTTAACATTTTGAAAATGGAGCTTGACTTTCATTCTAAGTAATATGTTTAATATTTAAGTGTTTTATAAATATATTTGATGTTCTAAAGGGAGCAGATGTCAGGAGTTTTGAAAGATATAAATAGATTCCTCTCAAGACTGCTGATTTGGGTTGTGCAAGTAATTGAGTTTTTCGGTTTGGTGGCCAAACCAAAAAATAAAAATATTAATTTGGAGTTAACCCAAACCAATTTTTTGTAACATTTTGTAAAACAAAACAAATGCTTCAGTTTACTTTGGGGCAGTTTTAGTACAGTAGAGGCCTAGATTTACCAGGAGCAGATGGTAGTGCTGTGTTGCCTCTAGAGTAGACCTTAGACCATGGTTTCCCCTGCCAAAGGTGCCCTAACTGCTTGGATATATGATAGTCTAGGATGAGTTTATCTCTCCATCTCCCCTATTGAAACTGTTCCACTTAAATATTCATTTTACCAGAGAAGGAATGAAAATGACTTGGTATCCCAGTGATTAAGTTCTCATGTGGGAGGGAGGACACTTCATATACTCTTTTTCTTTTTGGTTCCTTAACTGGTTTGTTGACTCTGCCCTATCCTTAAGAATTTATTCATTTATACATCATGTTCTTTCTCCAGCATCACCTTTTTCTGTTCCCCTTCTGGCATAAAAATGTGAGAACTGCTGTGGGTGGTGGCCTCTTCCACTCGTTTTCTCCTTGTCCTTGCTGAGAAGTGCTAAGCTTAGTGCACACACATTTTTAGTATATTTTTCACTGTGTTGCAGCGTCAGAAGTGCATACATGTGCAATACAGCCTTTCTTCGCTGGGTACTTTGAGTACAGTAACAGTCTCTAGGGAAAATGCACTGTGCAAAAACAGCCTGTAAGTCTTTAAACAGGTCTTAACTCAGTGAAATCAAACCCAGTTTTTCACTAGAACTCTAAAGCTTCTCCATAAGGAAGGGTATTTCTCTTCAAGCTTTAACTTTTAAATCTCTGCCATTTTGGCTAAAAGGCTGTGAGGGGGGGAAAAAATAAAAGGTCAAGATTTCTTTTAAATAAAAAGAAATGTATTTTTCATTCTTCTTGAATTAAAGATTGGCTGAAGTATTTTTCCACAAGTTTTCCAAAAATAATTTGCCATCAGGCAGAAACTGAGTCTGAAATATTTCAGCCCAAAAGATATTACTTTCAGAGTGCTTGTGCAAGCGGAAACTTGTGACTAAGTGGAAATCATTCTGCAACCTCAAGTAAGAATGGCTGCTGCTGTTTTGTTACATTTTAATTATTAGCTCTGTACTTACATGGTAATGTATTTGTTTTGAAAAACAGGTTTGATTATGAACCTTTTAGTGTAGGACGTCCTGAAATTAGCAGGGAAAAGATATTTCAGTGTCCTAATATTCTGAGAATAATAAAGAAATGGATTTGTGCAAGCTTCAGACACAAACCACTTGCATATTACAACAAAAAACTTTATTAAAAAGGGAGTAATTCAAGATAGTATAGTAAATTATTATCATCGCAGAGAGTTTAAGGCCAGAGAGGCTATTATAGCTCATCTGATCTCCACAGCATTAAGACTAAAGGTTTCATTCAGATACCTATATGAAATAGGTTAGTTATACTGAAACATTTCAATCCTTAGATGAAACTGTGGGTCACAGGCAGAGAAAAGGAGACTGCGGTACCATCAGTGCCTCAGCTTCCTGCAATTGCAGGGAATTGAACAGGCAAGATACTCCCACGTGATCCCAATAGGTGAAACATGCTTCATGTTTTAGGGGAAGAGGAAAGTATTTATATGTGTTAGGAGCTCTTTGATAATCTGGCCCATAGGGAAACTACTTCCATAGAAATGCCATAATAAAGCTGTATCACTCCCAAATGTTTTTATTTCTCTAAAAAATCTTGCAGTCTCAAATGAAGCAGTTGGTGTGGAACTGAGTACATAAGCAAGATAAATAAACCAGGCATCTGAATGGAAGGTTCTCTATATCACCTCAAAGCATTAGTCCACTCTGCCCAGTATCCCATCTATACTCATGGCTAATGTCTGATGCAGAGAGAGGAAGTTAGCTGTGTTAGTCTGAAGTCAGGCAGAAGGCATGGTAGATATGCACCTTATAGAGTAACTAAACAAGGTATATATGAGCTTAATAAGCTTTCATAAACTCAAGCTGACATCATCAGATGTTCTGAAAGGACAAGCATAAAGCAGTGTATAAGGTGGAATGAGTGCTTTGAATACAAAAGGTGGGAGAGAAAGGGGAGAAGGGGAGGCAAGGGACCCATAGGAACAAAAGGGTCACAAAAGCTAATCCAGGTAACAGGATAAAAATCTATAACCCTTATTTAAACCATACTTAACACAATCCCGTCTGTGGATAACTTAGTGTTCCAAAATTTCTTGTTCAAACTGGTTTTACTCCACTTTATACACTGCTTTATGCTTGTCTGATTCTGTGAGCTTAAGTTCCTGAATGCTTATGCTCTCTATATATCTTATTTAGTAAAGTGTAAGGTGTATTTCTACCCTGCCTTTAATCTGCGATGCGTCAGAGGAAGACAGAAACCCCAGTCATTCCTTCCTGTTCTCTATGTGAGATTAACTGAAGCCCTGAAGCATGAGCTTTGATTATAATCATTACCTAAATGAAGAACTGCAGATGTTATAAAGATGTTGGGGGTAATATAGGCAATCTAAGTAATGTAAAAACAAAATTAATATATATGTACTCATGAGGAAGAAGTAGGAGAGGTATTGGTTCATGAAAATTGATAGTGCTCAGCTGAAGGACTAATCCATTCTAAACGCACATACCTTTAGTATATTTTTCACTATGTTACAAAGTCAGACATGCATACGTGTGCAGTGCAGTCTTCCATTGCTGAGTACTTTGAGCACAGCAACAGTCTCTCCTT